TGCAACATTAGTTAGTATATATGAGTATGATAAATATATATATATATATATATATATATATATAATATATATATATATATATATATATATAGATTTCCTTTTTCTTTCCTTGTTTCTTGTAATGCTCTTTTTATTTTTTTTATATATTAAATATATTTAATTTAATTTTAGTTTTTCATCACGTAATTAATAGTGTATGAATTATGAATATTCTGAAGTATCATGATCCAGAGATCTTATTACTCCATCATTGTCCTTGAACCCTGGAGCTCAAATATAGGTCGGTGACAAAAGAAATCTCCGTTCTGGAATGGGGTTGGTCCCATAAAACAATTGTTATTTGTTAAATGAAATCTTATTACTTCCTTTATACTATCATTGCAAAGATCCTACAACTGTCATAAAATGTTTCATGATCGGTTTTACAGATTAAAAAAAAATATTTTTTTTTATTTTCACTTCTCGGTAATAACTTGTTGAATTAAGATGGTGTAAGATTTTCCATTGATCTATTACTCTATAAATTGTTATTAAAATGTTTGAACATTGTTTTAATGATTACTAAATCCATAGTTGTTTTAAAAGATCAATAATTAAGGTTTTGTACTAGTATTTTATTGCTACAAAAAGCACTTAAATTTAATTAAATTTAAAATTTTAATAGACATGATGTTTTTTTTTCCTCTGCGATATTATATAACAATTTTTCGTTTCCATGCCGAGATAGATCGTGGTTGGGAATATTTTAAAGAGAAAATGGTTCTCTGATGCAAAATTCAACACAAGATTCTGTTAGTTTAAAATAATTTAGCTGGTGGCGATCGTTTAGAATCTTGCTACAGGGAATTTTTAAAAGAGCAAAGACCTGTTTTCTGTCGGGGTGTTGAAACTTACACTTCATAAAAACTGTAACGGAGTGTCTTGTAGGAGGATATTTTTTAATATATAATACAAGCTGTATCCTGCTATATTTTTATAAATATTTTTATTTTGTTTTTTATAAAAAAACACATTTATTTTTTTGTTTTAGACTAAATTATTTTTTTAGTGAGATTTATAACTTATTATTGTCAGTTTAATTAGCTTTCTTATATATTTTTAATTACCCAATCATGGAATACCACAAAGAGGTAATTTAGCGTTTAGTAGATAAGTAAAGATTTTTTTTAACTAACGGATTTCAAAGGTTTATGCTTTTAAATGTTCAGCGAGATCGCGTGTTTTCTGGAACAATGAGAGTTATGTATATATGATATATATATATATATATATATATATATATATATATATATATATATATATATATATATATATATATATATATTTATTTATTTATTTAAACGTACCTCGATTGAGTTTGATTTCTTATATTGTCATGTGAAAGTTCATAATCATATGTGATGAGCAATAGCCGATCCACGATTTGATTTGGAGAGGTGCTCTTTTTTTAAATTAATTTTCTTTTTCTCGAGACAAAAAAAAAGAAGAAAAAAATGGTGCCTAATTTAAAAGAACAATTGTGTCTTTAGCGATAAATTTCTTATATTTTTTCTTAATATGTCTTTGCATTTATTAGCAGTACGTGCATTATGATTCAGTAATTTAATAATAATAATAATTTAAGTATTTAGCTTAGATCATCAAATAAACAAATATGGACAGTTGAAAAAAAAAATCCATATTGGCAGGCTTCAGTCCGAAAATCCCCCTCCCTCTATAGATTCTCAAATAGTGCTAAATACAAATTATCGATACATGAAAAACTAAAAAAGTTAAATTAAAAAAAAATGATGTTCTGAATTAACGCAATCTTATCTACTTCTATCCATTTGAGGAGAAATATTCTTGCATATCTGATTGAAATCATCGAAAGATTTTTAGTCAGATCTATCAGTTATATGAAGGCTTAGTAGTGGAAAGCCTTTCACTGTACATTACGGCTCTGAAAAGTTTGCATTCGAAAGAGTCTGGTTTCGTTCGGCGGTTGAAGACATCCCATTACATTACTATTTCTATTTTCATAAGCCTCATCTACTGTTGTATTTAAGTGGATAAGTAAGTATTCCACTTTGGATGGATAGTGTTTCATTAATATTTATGTTTATTTTTTATTTCAACTAAAACATTTTAAAACGTTTTGTTTGAAATAAATAAGATAAATTTAACTTTTATTCTGAAAAACAGTGTCTGCCTAGTAAATCAGTGTACTTCCTCTTGCTCACCATTTTTGTCGGTTACATTATATACACTTCACTAAGATCTATTTAGTTCAAAGCTGAATAGAACAATATAATAATAAAAATATTAAGATAAAAAACTTATATAACGTCAAATGTTTACTACTAACCATATTTTACATAATTAAAAATTACACCAATTTTAATTTACTCGCCACATAACCTATTATAAACTATAGACATACATAGTACCAAAAACATTTATTGAGCCCCAAAACGTTAAACACGAGTGAAAATTTTCAATTCTGGGCCCAAAAATTGGTTACAAATTCTGCACGAATACAAATCTTTTTGACCTCCATTAGGGAGGAACCAATAAATATTTGAAAAAGGCTTCGTAATGTAGTAGTAAATTTCACTAGTAATTAGCGCGCTATAAAATAAGAAAATGATAGATTTTAACTAAATTAAATGAAATATTATTTATGATAAATTGTAGGGAGTAAGAAATTGATTTATATCGATTTTGATATTAATATTGATTATAGAGGTTAAGAAAGATAATTTTTTATCCTATAGGTTTATTAAGCATAATATTAAATATTATGCTTAATAATGAAGAACATATAGTGTGAATGTCATCCTACCTCACTATAACCAGTGTCGAAGAGACAGATTGTTATAATACTCAATAAAGAAATAAAAAAATAAATAAAAAAAATAATGAAGAAATATTGACAGAGATGTAATATAATATTTTTTTGGAAACTTAAATATTTAAAAAAAAAAGAAGTATAATAAATAACAAGTATTATGAAACATAATAATTTATTAAAATGACATTATTTTACATTTAATAAATATTTGTTTTTGGTTTCGTTTAAGTATTATTTATTTGAACGTTTGATTGACAAAACTAACTGGCTCTTTTCAGTGGCTCAATATGTCCGCCTACAAATACCAAAGCAAAAACCACAGGCCAAAAAAAAGGGATTAAATTGGCCTGCCAATCCTTTTTCGGAATTCCTCTTTGCTACCGAATTTTCATTAAACTATACTCCTTTTTCCTGAAAATAAAAATATACTGAAAAAAGTATTGATTTAAATGAAAAAAAAAAAAATGTTTTAATAAAGACAGCTATGGAATAAAGACTATACATAGTTATGTTTTCCTATATAGGTACTTATTGAAATTCACTACGGTAACAACTGAAAATACAAGTAAATATAGATAAACAGGTTGAGAAACTACCCATTTTTGTAGCACTCCTAGAATAGTTCTATGCTTGAAAGTCCCGAGGTAGTCTTCTTTTCTGAAGCCTAGGAATGGAAGAGGCAGCAAGGTTAAAAATTATTGGATTAGGATTGGCAGAATTTATAATGGATATTTAGGTATCTGGATTGAGTTGAATCGGAAGGTTACTATGGATAGTTTCATTTTGACAAGGATTTTACGAAAGATTTTGGATTGTTGGGATTGGAAACGAGAGGAATTCGATGGTTTAGTAGAGCCTCAAAGCTAACTCCGTAAGTTCTAATTGATTTTATTATAAATATGTTAATGAGTCTTTTGTAATTATTTCTAAGGTTTGTTCGTTTTTCTAGTATGTGTGATGTAGAACGTCTAGAAGGTTCTTGTCGTATCATTCTTATGTGAGGATTCCAAGTAAGATATTTGTCCAGATAAGTAAGACGGAGTCCTAGGTGGCTAATCTGTTCATCTGGAAATATTATTTAAGGATAAATTAAAAAAAAAAATTCACCTTTCTTTTGTGAACAAATAATTTGACGTAATTAGGTTATGATTTTATGAAAATGATATCTATCAAATTATTTTAGGAAAGTTTATAAAGTTAAAGTTATATAATAATGTAGGGTATCACTGTATTTCAAATTTATATTCTGAAAATTTTCTTAGTTGAGTATCATTGTACTTACTATCTGGGGTCGGGCAACTAACTCCTCGTATTCACAACAAGGTAAATTTAAAGGAGAGAATTGAAAGTTTTATTCTCATAAATTAATGTTTTCATTATATCCTATAGTTTTTAAATATTCAAATTGGATAAAAATGAAAAAAATACTTAATCTATTTTCATAATTAAATATAAACAATTGCTTGTTGTTTGTTATCGGCTCTCTTGCGTAATGGAAATGTTACGCTGATCGAAGCCCAGTATACGTGAAATGCAATAGAAGGTGATAAGTTTATCTCTTAATGCCATATTGACATGAAAGATTTATTCATTTACTTTTATTTTAAGATAAAAGTTTGTCACAGATTATGCTATTCCTTGTTGATATTTGTCTCTTTGAGGTCATGGATGGAAAACTTTGTTGTTTTCATTAACAAACCCACTTAATAATCGTCTGCATTTTATTTTAGACACGACTAATATGGATGAGAATCCGTTTTAACAAAATTCCATTGGATTGCCAAAAATACCGATCACAAATTGCTCCAAACTGTTCCGATTCATAATGAATAGCCTCATCGACATCTTGCACAACCACCTGATGATCCTGATGGAGGATATGATTGATAAGGCATTGTTACACAACTTTTCCTTCTGCCTCTTCCGTCATCCTTTCTTCGACGAAGAGGAGGATGGGCCGCGGCAACCCGTCGACCCCTAGGGCTGACCCACTGCCACCCCGAACTGGAGCACGCTAGGGTTCACCGAACTCGGTCGCTCGAGTTTTTGACCAACAGTCCATCCGTCACTTGGCTGTCGCCGACTATGCCCCTCGTTCGCCTTGACACGGCGCATGCGTGTAGCCTCTCTCGGTTGGGTTTAGGCGGGAGACCGCCAGTCTTGTTCGCGCCCCTCTCGGTTCTGTACCGTCCGGTCAGTGTCCAACGTCCCTTTACGAGTTTCGCGTGTTTTGTTTTGTCAGGCAAAGTGTGCATTAGCGTGTCTAAGGGCCATTCCTTGGTTTTGATGTAAGTAGGTTACTTCTAATTTTTCCCTAAAAAAAAATTCAAAAACTCAAATCTATCTAAAATAAAATTTTCTAAAAAATTAAAAAAATCTGTTAACGTTACAATTTTTTAGGGAAATTCATAATTTTATTGATTGAAATTTTTTTTTAATATTAACGTAGAAATTTGCTTTCAAAAGTAAAATCACTTTATTTTTTCCAAAACATGAATTTATATTCTGTTTTATTTAGAGATGGAATTCAAACCTAAAAATTGTTTAAGCTTGTTACCATTAAAAATTTATATGATTTATTTTTCAAAATTCCAATTTATATAAAATAAAATACTTTATGGAACAAAAAATTTATTTATTTTCAGCCTGAAAATTATTGTTGTCATGACAACTGTGGTTTATTTTTAGGTAAAATTAGATATATAACGTTTTCTTATGATTTTTTTAAATAGAGTTTTAACATGTGCTATACTGTAGAGGTAGGCAATTAACTGAATTTCACAGCCGTGTATAGTTTTTCAATGGTGGAGCTATGAGTTGAATATCAAAGTTGAATAGGCGTGTAATATGGAGTGAAAAGATTGCAAATCCTTACGTGAAACCTGATGAAATCTTAGGAATAATAAGCCCTTAGGAAACACTTACACCTGAAAGATCCTTATCAATTCTATAGCCAAAGTATTTTCCTAATAGATAGCTTTCAACCATTTGTAAATAACTATAGTCAATGACAATGTTTAAGTAATTTTTATTCAGGAATAAAAATTTTACTTGCCAAAGAGTTTAAATGAAAATGGAAGTTTTCATTGAGATATTACGGGTGCAATGTCCATCCTTTGCAATGTGAACACTAATTTTTCATTATCATTTTCATCTCTTTTATTTTTGTAATAATGACAAAACGTTTTCGTAATTTTCACGTTTATCTATTCATCAACAACTATCTTGACATTGATCCGTGACTTGAGGTGATTGATGTAATTTCTAATGAATGGAAGCGTCATAGTTATTTATAGATGTCCGGTATTCTTTTTTTAAAATATTCATTATGCAAAGCAAATGATATTTTATTTACATAATTATATTTATTTTTTATATAAATCTCATAGAAATTTAATCGACTTGGAACGTCAAAGCAAATTGCAAGTTTTTTTTTTTAAATGTCCAGATAGTTGTAGTGAATATTATTCAAGGATTTAAATTTTAAATTGATGTATTAAAAAGAAAAATATTATGGTTATTTAAACACTGACAAGTAAAATATCTGTATAACAATAAATATAATAAAACGACTAGTATTATGGCTATGAACCTATTTAATACCTTTATTATAATTTTTTAGCAATACATAGTCAGATTATAAATAATAATCTATGTTTTCACAAAGTGAAAATTAAAGTTTAAAGTTGACAATGAAGTTTTAAATGAATATCAAATATACCGATGGCCAACTGCACAGTTACTTGTAAAATTTAGTTATCTTCTTATTTTTATTTTTTTATTAGGAAGCTTACGTTTATAATTTTTTCATATTTTAGGCAATAAAACTTCCAATTCCCTTCATATTTTTTTATTCATGCTTGTCTCTTAAGTTTCGGGACAATTTTACCATCATCAGAGCAATATTTTTATTTTTACATTCAGTTTTTTGATGTGGCACCATTTGTCAAAAATTAATTATTTGTCACATTTTTTAAAAAATTATTTGGTGTTACACATATTCACTGATACACTAATAAACATCTGCTGATTGAAATTTATTGTTTCAAGTAAAAAATAAGATTTGATTGCATCCTGTAATTCCTTATTTATTATTTTCCTTAAATCTCTAGTATATTTTAATTTAGTAAGTATATAATGTTGAATTAAAGCATTTCTTTAGGCTTTGATTAAACTTTTTCTAATAGTTCTCAAAGGGTTTGCATAATTTTATTTCACTTACTGTGTAATAAATAAAGCCAAAATTAACAACATTCTTTTTGCAATAAACCGACATTATATTACTTGACTTATATATTGATCAAAAATGATAAATTTATTTTATAGGTTCGTGAGCGTAACATTCTTTTTATTGATTTTATTTTTATTTTCTACACATAATATATATATATATATATATATATATATATATATATATATATATATATATATATATATATATATATATATATATATATATATATGCATATTTTTAGTTTAGTTCACACTTAATTTAAATTGAATAAAATAATAAAGAAATAACTCTATTAAATCTATGGGTTCATAGATATGAGGGAGGGAACATACTTCCATGTTCACTTAAACACATTGGCAGATTTTTAATGGTTTAAAGAAGTCTGAGATTATTAAAACTTGTTTTAGTAATCGGATGTCTTCTACACCCAAATATAATTAGCTTTTCAAATATTGGTGATTTATATTCATCACATCATGAACTATGAAACATATGAACATGAATATACTAACATTTTTTTAGTAACGTGACCTCAATTTTTCTTCAAAACAAACAAGGATCTTATTGAGTAATTTAAGCCATAAAACTTAAAAATTAAACCGTTCGTTTAAAAAACCCGTACATTATTTTAAACGGACAGATAAAACACGTTTGATGCGTTTTCTCCTCCAGTTTTATGAGCTTGTATTATTTTAAAGCATTCACGGTAACTGACAGAATAATCTGAGCTATCAACCGTGAAAATTTGTTGAACCGTTCGTTGGAAAAAAAAAAATTTGCATATCTACAAACAGTTAATGTAAACACTTTACCTTATTTGTTTGCTTCATCGTATTGGGGTATAAAAAACAAAAACAACGAAAAACAGAAAAAAAAACCCTGAGAATCATTCATCTAGAAAAAAGTATAATTAATGAAAAACATAATAATAAATATCTAGAGTACACTTGTGTAGAATTTATGATTTTTTTCTACTTTAGATTTAAAGTCAAACATAAATCTAAAATAAGTTTTATATTTTATGGAAAAATGTGCAAGTGATAAAAAAAAAATATGGCCGAGACTGCGACTTTTCGTAATAAAATTCATGGGCAATGGAACCGAAATATTTTTTATCTAAAAATACATTTTAAAATAAATAAATAAAATATATATCGACACTAGTACATGACCAATAGTAATAATATAAATATAATTACAATTATAATAATATATATTCATAATTATAATTTTACAATATTTATTATAATTTTATATTACAAAAATAGTCTTATGGATTCTGCACAAATAATTGCATAAAATTACTTTTTTTTTACAAGCTGTAATCGTTATTCATATTTGCGCAGCTGTATCAATAATATTTCAATGCTTTGTTGAACCGTTCGCTGGAAAAAAAAAATTGCATATCTACAAACGGTTAATGTAAACACTTTACCTTATTTGTTTGCTTCACCATAGTGGGGTATAAAAAAAACAACAACAAAAAACAGAAAAAAAAAACCTGAGAATCATTCATCTAGAAAAAAGTATAATTAATGAAAAATTATCCTTATAATTTTCCGTCTTAATATTCAATATATTCTCGATATTCTAAACTCTATTTTCAAAGCGCATGCAACGAAAGCTTACAGTTGTTATCAAATTATATATTTTATGTACTTATTTGTTTAGAGCAGATAGTGAATTCCATTTTAATTGTGTATTAATTTTTGTGAAATTTAGTTTTTCTTTTACAATTTTTTAAATATAGGTAGTTAGTTACCTTTAATGAATTCGACGTGTAGTACGCGACATCAGTGTTTGTTCCTATTTTCAATGAGATATTATCAAGATAATCCAATAAGACACACAACTGTTAAAGCTTCCGTCATTAGCACGGCTGTTAAAATAATAATTTAGTTAAGAAATGATTAAGTTGTTCACCGGAAAATAACCCTCCAGTTTAATAGTCGAGCGATAAGTCACAGATAAATGTACTCAAACTTATATTAATCCATTGCTCAGGGCGTGTCCGAAAATCGGTCTTGATCTTATACTTTGCAAGACCATGACCAAGACCGCCTGACTGTTGAAAGACCAAGACGAAAACTGGTAAAAAAAAAAAATCGTTAATGTGAATAAAAATTACGGCTAAATAGTTATCAATACTTCACGATTTTAGTTATTATGTGTAAAGAATTGGCATAACCAATATACTTTTGCATTTAACTCTGCCAGTTTTTCATTCGGGCTTAGTTAGGTTTCCCCTGTCTCAAAAATTACTGCAATATCTCTATAGTAATAGGCTAATAGGTATCTGCAAGACTCTTGCGCTGGACTCGTCTTGGTCTCACATTTGGACAACATTACTCAGGGCCTATTTTCTCGGTACTGAAGCCTTGGTTAGCAGTTTTTGCTAAGAATATAGAAGCCACCTCTGCATATATTTTTATTTATTAAAAATATTAAAAAGTTTCCATATTATCCAAAATACCCAAAGGATCAAAGGATTTATTATTTCCTTACGTTTACCTTTCCAATAACTTTTTGTCCTTCCAGGGCTAACATAAAATATTAATTTTAAACACCTAAACAACTTATAGATATCCCATGGCAATCTGCTGGAATTGAGATTTATCTCGAAAACAGAACATTTTTGGGGTTTAATAAGATGTTTCCAATAGTTCTTTGGAAACTAGGCATGGCGTTGATGACCCTCTCGAAACCTATAAAGCACAATTTATGCCGCCTCGATTTGTTGAACTTCTATTGAATTGGCGATAAATATTCAGGACGCAGTCATTATAAAGTTTTTATTAGTGCCGACGTTTCAACCCAAACATGTGGGTCATCATCTGGGCTTGTTTAGAGCACTGAAGGTATTCTGGTACTCTGAAGGTACTGAAGGTTTTACAGTACTTGAATACCTTCAGTGCTCGAAACACGCCCTGATGATGACCCACATGTTTGGGTTGAAACGTCGGCACTAATAAAAACTTTATAATGACTGCGTCCTGAATATTTATCACCCATGATATGTAGAACAGTCGACTAACTTCTTCCAATAACTTTATT